CACCTTCATTTGTGACTGGGAGGCAGCACGGCAGTAGTGCCGTAGCTGACAGAGTGGATGTGCTTTGCTGGTCCACATCACACACCTTGCAGGGGCAGTGTCAGACACAGGGAATTTCCTCTCCGTGTGGGCACCTGATCTGTCATTGAAGGTCAGGGGTGAAATTTGGATTAGTCTGGAAGTCCATGGGACTGTGATGCTCAGTGAATTATTTCTGTGCCTAGGAAGGAGTGCAGTGCAAAGAGCCAAGTCTGGCGTAGATCTAACAGGCAGGGTGTGCTGATTAGCATGTAATTCGATTTGTTAGGCACTACAGTAAACAGCATTAAGTGCAAAATGCAGTGATTGCTCCTGATAGCACCCTTCCAGCGTTACCTCGGTGCCTGTGGCTGTGGATGGAGGTGTGTCCAGGGTCTCCAGGAGGCACCAGCAGGGCTGGCAGTACTCCTTTCATGGATAGAGAAAAAGAAGAGTAAGACAAACACTGCAATTACAAGAGGTTGGATAGCTGTATCTACAGAGCACAGCTCAAACACTTCTCCTGCTATCCCTGTCCCTTCCCCATTCCCCACTGACGCAGCTGGGACCAGCCCTGCTGTGGGTTACTCAGGAGGAGAGGTGGTGTGACAGTCAGATTTTCCCCACCAGTATTGTGTTTTCCTCCAGTAAATGCCATGTCCATATGTTTTCCTTCATGGCTTTGGTAGAGAAAGTCCCTTATCTTTATTCTTGTGCCGCGGTTGGACCGTGGGTTGGAGGACCTTGGCGTGGCAGCCTGGAGCTGAACAGACTTATCTCCTGGCTCCCCTGCTTAAGAACAGACTTGCTTTTGGTCTCATGCTGTCACACTTGCTGAACTCTTTGTTTGCTGTAACTGAAGGGCTGCCTCCTTCAAACCTCACATTTACAAGCACAAAATTAATGTGCTGCATCATTTCAGAGTAAGAGCAAGCGAAGTCTTTCTGAAATGGAAGTGCCCCACTGAAGCCATGCAGTGATGAGTCCTGTTTTCTCTTCCCCCTCAAAGCCAGCTCAAGCCCACTGTCATCAGTGGTAGCTCTTTTTAGGACAGGCTCCCCTCATGTCCCCATGAGGTGTTGAAATCAGCCAGACCATCCCTTGGCAAAGCACGTGCAAGGAAAGGACAGACATCCTGGTTGTGCTCATCCCCACCAAAATAGCAACAAATTACGAGTATGATACCTCTCATTTCCTCTTGTTCCATGGGGGTGAGCACAGGAGGAGCTGCACAGAAAGGTGGCATTTGTTGAGAGACCTGGCACAATCAGGAGTATATTGGAAGCTGTCGGGAAGAATTAAATTAAGGTTGAGTGCTCTGGCGTGGGGATGGCACACAGGCAACTCTGCAGAGCTGCCCAACAGCCTCTTACCTCCCTGTGCCCCTGATAAAGGCAGGCAGTTGTCCCATTGTCTGTGGGATGTTTTCCTAAGTGACCCCATTAGGAAATTAGAGTTTCTTAACAACTGTGAGAGGATTGCTGTTTTGTTATGACAGAGTACGGGCAGATGTCTGAGTGAACTTCAACTTCATACATTCTGTGCTCCTGATAGAAATTCTGTAATTTGTATGCTGTACATGCTATCCAGCATCCTGGAAAGGTCCATCATTTCTCTTCAAAGCACTTGGGTACCTCTTATTCCTGAAAGAGTTTTACAATTCTTGGAAAACGTTTGTTCACTCATCCAGGATGTTTTCTGCTTCCACGCCTAATTAAATGAGTAAATGCCTTTTTTTTTTTTGTGTCGTATCAAAATGACACAAAATTAATTTTAGCCATAGCAAAAATTAAATCATCTCTCCTTTTTTTGAGACCAGGCACATCAGTGGAGACTGAATTGGGGCACTTAAAAGCCCAGAGCTCAAGGTTTCACTGCCCCAGTCCTCATCCTCAGACAACTCAGGAAAACAAGTAGCATTGTTTCCATTCTTTGGGAGAAATCAGAGGAAATGAAGTTTCCTTGTGATTGCTGTGTGTGTTACAGTTATTTAGAGGGACTGTGCTAAGGAGAGGTTGACTTTGCTTTGCAGTGGAACGGAGAGACCTTGCCGGCTGATGAAGTGAAGCGACTGCGCAGCATTTATTATTGAAACCCTCAAGAGCTGGTGGAGGCTCTGCTCCTTTCAGGAGCATCCAGCAGCCATTTGCAGAGCTGCTGGGGAGGCAGGCTGCTGTTAACCAGGGTTCCTGGTTACCTTTCACAGGCACAGCCCCATGGGAGGTGTTCTCTGGCCACTGATATCCACAGCATTGCTGTGTTTGCCCGCATGGCTGAACCCATCCCTGGCTGTGCGAGGTGCCAGGATCCCTGTCTGTCCTGCTGGAGCTTCATGCTCGATTTAAGCTCATCTAAACAGGAGCTGCAGTCAAAAGGGGGGGCAAGTCCCACTGCCCAGACCTCAGACACCATCCCTGTGCAAAAGTGTGGCCTTGGCATCCGGTTTTAGACCAAAATACTGTCCTGACAAAGTAAAGGTCCCACTGGGCCAAATTTCACGTTTGCTTCTATCTGCAACAGCATTGAAACAGGAGAGAGCAACATGGCAAAGACAAATCTAAAACCAAAAGGGGAATATCTTGTTGAATGAATCTGCTGTTTATTTTTAAAAGCAATATGCACTATGCCAGCTGATGTGCTTTTAGTTACGTGATGTTGTTTGGAGCTCCGGAGGACCTGGAGCATCCAATAGCTGCGTTCGGATGCAAGTCCAGCAGGAAATCCTGCAAGTGCCGGCATTGATCGGGCAAAGAAGTACATGTCTAGAGCTGATGGTTTAAAATGTTACTCCAATAGACTCAAATCTCACAAATTCCCATCCCAGAGGGTGAATGAAATCAATCCAGTGCCATTGATTTGCCGCCGGCTGTGATTTGTGGAGCCCTGCGGACGAGCACTGAACACGAGCTGCTACCTGGCTGCTTCTCTTTGAGCCTGGAAAATAAAGTCTTTGAGCAGAGGCAAACCAGGATGGCTTTGGGTTAGGCTGGAAACCTGTCTGTGAGTGCCAAAAGGTACCCAACATGCACCAACAAGACAAATAAAAAGATTATGATGGTGGAAATGGAAAAAGAGCCAAAGAAAGTATGCACAGGGGAGACAATCACCTGCAAATGCACAGGGGGGACTTACAAAGCAGTCAGCAATCAATTTTCAAATAATGGGCTTGATCTTTAAGTAAACTAATAAAAGGAAATGAGGATGTAATAAATACCTGATTTATCATCCCATCTTTTTTTTTTGCTGCAGCGGCAACACAACTGTGTGAATTTTCTTCTCTGAGCTTCTCCTCTCCGCCTCCTGAATCATAAAGTCAAGGCAGCACCTTTACAGCTGAGTCTCTCCTGTGGCACAGGAGGTTTTATAGAGCTGCCAGCCTCCTCGCCCTGCTGCTGTTTCAGACAGATGCTGCTCAGGGGCTCAGCAAGCCGTGCTTGAAATGGCCCAGAGATCAAGGTGGAGGACTGTTGTGAGACAGCAGAAGGAGGCAGAGGACTTTGCCAGAACAAGACAGTATTTCACTGAAAAGTGACAGGACCACTGGCAGTTTCCCTGGGACCAGGAATTTGTCCTTGCCTTATGCAGCAGATTTCTGGAGTCCTTCAGAAAGTCAATTCTGAACTTGCTTCAGTATAACCATTAGTCTCCTCCACTTTGTTGTAAGGTGGGACCCACCAACCCCAAGGGTTAATGCAGGTTTTGGGTGTACTGGCTATTTGCTGTGCCAGTAGAAGGAGCAAATACCTTCATCCCTTTCAGCTTGCAGTTCATGCCTTCTTCCACTTTGAAACTTCTCTTGCCCCAGCTAACCTGTTAGCCTGTGATCTCTGTGTGCCCTGCAGACCCTCCTGCTGCCTTCCCCAGGCTCCTCAGGAGGGACAAAGCAGCAGGAGGAAGGCAAACCAAACTGCTCTTATCAGGAAGTAACAACTAAAAATTGACTAAAACACTCATTTTCTGTAGAGCAAGTGCTGTAACAATTAGCTTTACCAGGCAGCCAGGCCAACCCAGGTCTCTCCAGCAATGCAGAAGCTGGGAAGGTCACGTTTCCTCCATCCGCCTCCAGTTCCTTGCTTGTACAGCATTGGAGGGACTCCTCTCTCTTCTCCACAGCACCTTCACAAAGACCAAAGGAGCTGATCCTTCTTTCTGGATCTTGAAAGAAGCAGGGCCATCACTGTAGTGAATCCCACCCAAGTGGACATAAACCAAGGTACTGTGGGCATGTGGCTCTCACAGCAATCATTTCTGCCCTGAAGGAGAAGTCATGTACTGTGATGTTTGTAGTAGCTGATACCTGATACTGTTTTTAAGGAGGAGCCTTTCTGAATGCAGGTGAAGTCCCTTGGACCAGGTTAGAATTAGATCTGAGCTCTCTGTCTGTTTGCATGGCTGAATTGGCACAGCAGTAAATCTGCCTTTGACTGCTGGTGTGTGAGATCTACATCTGACCACAGCAGGGCCGGGCTCTCATCTGGGATGGGTTGTCTGGTGGGTAGATTTGAGATGCAGAGCCGTGTGTGCATTTGCTCTGTGGTGTGTCAGGGCACAGCTCACCACTTACACCGAGTGCCGTCCTCTGAGCAAAGCCATCCACTGCTGCTGGCATTGCTCCAGGCTGGGAGCTTCCATGGGATGTAACTTGCAACAGAGAGGGAAGCAGAAAGTAGGACCTGGGGCTTTCTTTCCTGGCAATAGGGGCATTTTCTTGTTTCGGAAGGTATTATGAACATTTAGAGGTAAGAAATAAGGACGTTGTGGGTTTATTTCTTAAAATCTCCCAGTGAGGAGGTCAGATAAGCCCTTCCCTCACACAGATCTCAACGTGTGGAGTGAAGTTCATGCAGGTATTTGGCTGAGGCCATCTACTAAAATTCCCTAGGAAGTAGAGAGAACGCTTGTGGGTTGCAACAAAGCATAAAGATGTGGCGATTTTTTTTTTTAATTTTCTTTTCTTTCCTGTTTTCTTATGACTTCTCCAGATTTTTTCACCATGTTCGGGAAAAAGAAGAAAAGACTTGAAATTTCTGGGCCCTCTAACTTCGAGCACCGGGTCCACACTGGCTTTGACCACCGGGAGCAGAAGTTCACGGGACTACCTCAGCAGTGGCACAGTTTGCTGGCGGACACGGCCAACCGGCCGAAGCCTATGGTGGATCCATCATGCATCACTCCCATCCAGCTGGCTCCTATGAAGGTACAGAGTCCCTTGGGAGTTCCCCAGCCTGCCTTTAATTGCTTGTAACCTTAATGAAGCAATGCCAGCGGACTGTTGGCATTGCACAGTGGCTGTCCCGGGAGGCAGGCACGGCTGGGGAGCGTGCGAGTGCAAAGGCAAACATTTAACAGTAGAGCTGCAAGGAAAAAAGGAATTATTTTTATATATATTTATTTATATAAAAATTGTGTGAATGTCTCAGAAGAGTGTGAGTCATGGGTCTGGCAGGGGCCAAGCCTTCATACTCCCAGGCTGCAGAAGAAAAAGCCACAAGTCCCCATGGAGGCCCAAAACGATGCTCCTCTGCAGCATAAAACTCCTCGATAATTAATTTAAGAGCAGTGCTTTAGGCAAAGGCGGTTTGGAGCAAGGGAGAGAGGGAAAAGTACACCAAAGAAAAAAAATTAAATTGCTTGTTCAGCCAGGCAGGGAGCTCAGGGAGGGATCTCGTTTCCACCTGCTGCTGCCTGGAGGGGGTAACACATGGGGATGGAGCTGAACTCGCTGGGTGGTAAAATGAGGGGAAACAGCCCCAGGCTGTGGTTTGGGAGGTTCAGGCTGGGCACCTGGGAAGAAAACTTGGCTTAGAGGGTAGAGCAGCACTGGACAGGGAGCCAGGGTGGCTCTAGGATCCCCATCCAGAGGCTCAGGATTCTGGTAGACAAATTCACCCTGATGTAGCAGCATTTCTGGGATTGCACATCCTGACAGCCAAGTGAACCACACCTGTGCTGTGGTGGCAGCCTGTGCCCTGCCAGCCGTGTACATCTACCCCTCATGCAGCTGCAAAATAAATTTAGGATTTCCTTTTCATGGGGATTTTTCTGCAGCAAGGGAAAATCAGATAATCCTGAGAGCATGGACCCTGTAGCTATATTTGATAAGTGCTCTTTGCTAAATTTACATTTACTGCCTGCTCCTGAAGGGCACTCATCACTTGCTGATCAGGACTGCTGGGTGGTGCTTCAGGACAAGGGGGATAAAACCAAGACCTTGCTATTTTGCTATAATAGAATATTGTACTATATAATAGAGGCCTTAGAATAATGAGGGAAAAAAGTAGGCAAACCTTTTCCTGCTAGGGGAGGAGAGCAACTTTGTTCCACAGCCCTTCTTAACACCAAAAATGTCTCTGGGTGTTTTGACATGAATGTGTGATGATGTTTTAAAATGGGGAGGGGGGAAAGAAAGGTGTTTATTATCTCATAGAGCTGCCATCTCTTTCCTGCAGTTCTGGAACCATCAAATCCATAAGCTTAGTAAGTTTTAAAATGTAATAGCTTTCTCAGCACTGTACAGGCCATACCACTCTGGGTCTCAGCCTGCAAATGGACGTGTGCAGTGCTCCCCAAATGGGCAATTGCCGCATTTTGAAGTGGAGAAAATCACTGTATTTCCAAGAAATTTGTCAATTCTTACTTTTCTGTCTCTGTACCAGGGGTCTGTATATGTGCAAATACCAGGAACATACTTCTGAACTAAACTGTAGAACTGAACTAAACTGTAGAACTAAACTAAACAAAATCCAGTTCCCAATCCGAGCTATTCTCCCAATGTAGCCTTGCTGCATCCTTGCATCCCACAGCATCTTCCCAGGATGTGTCCCAGGGACAGGATTCCTGCAGCCTGGTCCCCATTGTGGCAGTGGCTGTGGGGCTGAGCACAAACAAACCCATCTGCAGAGAGACCCTCAGGAGGGGTTGGAGATGGGAGATGTGGATTTGGAAGGAGATTACCCAAATTGCAGCTGATTGCATGACACTGCTCCAAAGGTATAGTTAGATGAGGAAATGGTGTTAAGACTGGAGGATTCAAGAAATTGTACCTTCACCCTCTGGTTTCTCTCCCTGCCAGAGACCCAATTGCAGCTTATTGAAATGGGCCTCCATAATACAGAAAACACAGGTTAGTTTTAATAGCAACTAAGAGACATTGACTGTAATCTGAGAATTTGCTTTCAACCCTATTGCAAGATACCATTTTACTCTATATTTTTTAAGAATTAAGATCCTTATTTTGTTATAACAACTCATGGAGAGAAACTGAGTTGCATCCACTTTAAAGCAAAAACTCTTTTAATGTTCCTAAACTAGCTCAGCATAATCATTTAATTTAGATGAATTTTTTTATGTGTGCACATGCACCAGTACCTTTAGTGTTGAAAGGGCACTGAGGATTTCATAACTTCACTGGGAGCTGAAGATTTAAAATGCACTTGCAGTTCATGGAGACAGGAACCAAAGGTTCTGAGATCTCAGTATTGGTTACAACTTTCCCCTTTCCCACCCAGCAGTTCATAGTTCACTTGATGTACCTTGTAAATGCACTGATGTGTAGCAGTAGAAGGTTCATAATTTTTCCCTGAGTCATAGAAGTAGGTCATGCTGAGGCATTTGGCCAGAGTTAGTTGGTGCTGAGGTTTCAGGTCATACAGCAGCTCTGTAACTCTGCTCTTACGTGCTCCTGAATTTATTCTGTTTGATTCCTTCAGTACTGACTGTGCTGTGAGGCAGAAGTGTGTCCCAATAGGTGCTTCTTCATGACTGAAGAGCAGCACAGATCATAGAGCCGACTTTGAGATTTCTTGGGTTTGAGACAGAACTGGTGTTTGCTTGCTTTGGGCTTCACCCAGAGCTGAGGCAGAGGAAGGGAAAGACTTTTTTTTTTTGACTTCTGTAGGTTTCACAGCTTTCCCTGTTAGTGGTGTTTGCTTGTTTCTCAGCCTGCAAAGCAGAGAGGATCTGATAGGCAGCGTATCCCTTTGGGTAAAGCCAATAAACGATAAATATTCTCACTGCTCCATCTGTATATTCAAAGGCAGCAGCAGCAATGATGAAGAGGCAGCGCCCTGGGCTCCCAAATATCCTGGGGGATGTCGTTGCCCTGCCTCTGCGTTGGCTGGGATGAAAGGCTTGTAAGTGCTTTGGCACGCGGGTGGCGGCGGCTTGTCATGGTAATATCAGCCTTTGAATCCAAACCTGAGCTGACTGTACAAATTCATTCATTTCAAACACAGGGAGAGACAATAATGGGATTCCCCTTCTCAGTGTGGGTGACCCAGATACCAGCAGAGGATTGTGTATTTCAGATGCCACCACAAGTCAGTAAAATGCTGCAGAAATTTCATGAAAAATAGAAAGCGGCAGTGATCTTGATAGGTTTGTGGTGTGGAGACAGAGGGGGTGAAAAAAGGCTGATTTTTCACTGAAAACATCTCTGCAAGAAAAATGTGAACTGCCTGTGTCTACCTGCACTTAAAATGGGCTTCATGAAGTCTGAGATCGTGATGCCAGGCCTCTCGTTCCTTTTCCTTCAATACTTTGTAGTAGTTCTGTGTGTACCTGCAGCTCGTGGTTTGCATGTTTATTCTTAGCACACAGCAGGCTTGGCTTGTCATCACCCTTATACTACACAGAAGTTTCAGTTTGTTGCCACCCTTTGATTTTTGGAAAGCCTCAGAGTCAATAACTAAGCAAATGCATTTCCACTCCACTCAAAATATTAGGAAAGCAAACACCAGAACCCTTATTTTGGGGATTTTTGCCAAAAGAGCTTATCATTGGCTTTGTAAAGATGCTCTGTTAAGATCTTTGAGTGCCTGCTGCTGTCAGTGGGAGCAGGATGGCACTGAAGACTTGTTAAAATCCCTTCTCATGTTTCCCAGTGCAGGGAACAGCTGAGCGTCCTCGCTTCTGTCAAGTTACTGGAGGGAAAAAAGGCATTTATTCATGAAAAAACACCATGCTGAGGTTACTCTTTAGTTGTCTGCACTGGTACGTGTGTGAAGCCTCCATCCCTTTGCTTTTGTTGATGCTTTGGGTAGTTTCATCATCCACACACTCAGCAAGATCAGATGAGAGTCCCCAGCTTGATGGTGACACAGTGATTGGTTTGTCCTTGAGGAAGAAGGGACGGAGCTGTGAGTGTTTGGGTGGCCAAATATACGGAGGCATCAAAAAGACTGAATCCTTCCTGCTGGGACCTCTGCATGTCCTTTTCCCCTGAGCACGTTGCAGCAAATCCAGCCATGCTCATGTGGTGGAATTTTCCTTTTCCTGAATTTTCTTCCCTCAGCTTGACATCGATGCTGTACTGTCAGGAAGACAGCGGAAGCCCCTTGTGTGCCATGTGGGTTGAGCTGCCTTAAAAGTAGGGGACACATTGTCCTTTCCATCACTTGACCCAAATGCCCTTGAATGCCCCAGGTCTGAGCTGAGATGCACATTAATTTAAGATACACATCGACTGTGCCATTAACCCGTGGCAGTTCATTTACCCGGTGTTCTGAGCAGAGAACTTCTGCAGGGGACAGACCACAGCGTTGCCAGCTTTTCTCCCAGTCTTTCATCCTCATGTTCCAGTGGTCTAATCTATATGTTTTGCTTACTAGTTTTAGCTTTTCTCCCTTCTGCCTCTCAAACCCTGACCCCAATCCTGGTGTAATTTTTAAAACTTTTCTAAGCTTCTACTGATGCATTTCATCCTCTCTACTGCACAGGGGAAAAACAGTCCGAAAGTGAGTTACTGGTTGTGGCCCTTTCAATAGCTCTGGCATGAAGCAAAGCTTCTGTTTACTGTACATGATGACAGATGAAAAAGAAGGTATTTCTCTTCGCCATCCTATTTGGCCTCTTAAAATATTTCCATCAGTGAAATTCAAGTCTCCTTTCAGTTGTCATTTTTTTCCTGCATTTACATGCTTTCCTTGCTTAGATGGAGGACACTGTGCCCAGTGATGCTGACTGGTCAAAGACCTCAAAGAGGAGATAAACCAGGGTCCTTGTCTGAGCTTGAGCAGTCAGAAATATCCAAGTTTCATTAGGTAACTCCTCCAGCCCTCTCCTCCCATGTGGAATTGCACAGGGAAAATGCCTGACCAGGAAATGAGGGATTTAGAAATAAAGAACCATTCAAAGGCTTTGCCTGCTGTTTGTGGGCAGATGGACAAATCAGTGGTTGTCCTGACCTTTCTTCCTCGT